ACCATCAGATGTTTGCCGAACAGCGTGGCTGCCAGTGAGAACCTCAGGTACGGCATTCGACAGCGTGAACCTGTGGAGGCCGGGTCACATTCATCTTTTCAGTGTGCGACAGGCAATGACCTCCAGCCTAATAGCGATGGCCTCCAACCTAGAAGCACTGACATCGGGCGTATCGGCCGTAGCTCGTGATGGGCTGGTGATTGGCGGAGGTTCCCGAACTCACTCGTTTCGTCAAGTTCTGCAGAAATTGGGTGAATCGTTTGCAGTGGATCAAAGCCTCCCCCAGCAAAGGGAAGCTTGACCTTCCTGATAGTCTCATTTGTTCCATGTTCCATGGCCAACCCGGGTCGCCTGGTTTTGACTCACAAGGGCAATAAGCTTCCCTGAGAAGCGTTTCCGTTGGATGCCGCCCACGGATTCAGGCTCAGCCAGCAAAACATTGGCTCGCCAAGATTTGTGTGGCGCTTCTCGTCGAAGAAGCACTGAGACATCAAGCCATCATGTCTCAGCTTTTGTATAGAGAACATATATGAGAACATGTTTTGGTCTTGACCGGCTGTTTTCAAAAAACGCATGACCTAAATGCTCCTCCAGCATCAACAATTGATTTTTGGTCTGGGGTGTGTGGGTGGATGGTGGGTGGAACACGCCATTGGTCCATTTTCGTCCATCCCTCAATCCTCCCAAAAAGAACACCTCCCATACCAGGGCCTAAGGCTCTAAGGGGTGGTGAATGGACATCCCGTAACCTCTAAGGAGCTATAATTGGACACGTCGAGTTGCGGGGGCCTGGCATTTGTCCCATCTTCGCCCTCTCAGCGTCTCAGGATCGTCAACCACAAGCGCTTTGAGATGGGTTGCGCTTTGCTGGTGATCCTTTGCGCTCTTTGTATCGGTCCCTTGGATGCTGACGCCCATCCTGGTCGATGATCTCCATTGAACCGTCCTTTTGGTCTTCACAAAAGCAGGGCGGAATGTCTCCTCTGTGGTCTGTGTGGTGCGCCTCCAACCTAAGAGCGATGGGCTGGCCAGGTCTGAGAGCGATGTTGGATGTTGAACCTCACTGGTCCTCATATTGTTTCGTTCGTGAGTTGAAAGCACCAACGTTAGTCTCTTTGGGGGGGGCAAGGTTTTGTCGGTGGATGTGGATCAGCTTGGAGGAATAAACAACGAAATCGCGGCGGGTTCATCTGTTTTGTGTTTTGCTTCGACGAAGTCAACATCGACGAAGCTCACTCAGATCCGACATTTCTTCGACATCTCTGGGAGGTTCATTCAGCTGGATTTCTCAAAGTAACCGTAACCTAAACAGGTACTTGAAGTACTTGTCGTACACATGTCACATGTCCCCATTTTTCAGATGTGCGAATCAGGTCCATCTCCGAAGGACTCTGTGTCTGACGATTTGTTCTTTACCCAAACTCTCCACCATCCAGGAATTGAGTCGGACTACACCATCCAGCACGCCTCAGATCCGCAGCATGCAGTCTTTCGTACCTCGACCCCTTCGTCGCCCCGCCACGGGCTTCGCGAAGCTCGCTGAGAGCTGCGACGGAAACGAACTGCCATCGGTGTCAATGGCGTTGAGAGGGTCTGGGGATTCTCGTCGACCCGTCTCAAATCCTCACGCTGGGGGTACTCCTGGTTCATGGGAACCTACCTGGTTCACCTACATTTCACCTAGTTTGGCTTCTTTGGTGATGTTTGGTTTTCCGGAACTGGGCGTGTGATGGGCTCACAGACATACAGACTCACGGACTCGTCAGTTTGATCATCTTTGATCAGGGTGTTGAACATCTACCCTCCCCTCTCCATTGTCAACGAACTGCACAGCTGCAGGCATGCTAGGCTGTTCCAGGCTGTTCCACTCGCGCCGCCCCGTACGCCGTCTGTGACCTGGGTCCTGTGATGCATTGTGCCGGCAGAGGCCCGTGCCTTCAAGTGCCCTCCATCAAACCAAGTGTTCACCTGTGCCGCATGACCACTAGTGGGCCTAGTGGGCACTCTAGAACATGGAACAGGACCCCAAGACGAAGACGGCGGCTACGCCGCCTATATATAGACACGGTCCCAGGAATGAACAGGTCGACTCTATAGGTGTAGCGTCCTTGCTCCTAGTAGCGATGCCCTTTGCTCCTAGTAGCGTCCTTGCTCCTAGTAACCCTTTGAGAAGGTGTTTGGACCCTCTCCTGGCGCCTGCATCAAAGTGTCGAACACACGGCCTTCGTCTAGGAGCAAGGACGCTACTAGAACCAATGGGACGGCATGACATACCGTACCACGTACTCCATCACTTGCCCACTTCAACAAAGGGTGATTTGCAACCAGCAAAGATGTTGCAGCAATGGCTGGGCAAGGTTTTCTAACATACTAATATACCTGGACCTTCCACGGGTGTGTTTTTTCTGCCGTTTGGCGAAACAGCACAAATTTCAGTCGTTTGCCGTCAAAAACACCGTTTCATTTCAAAAGTGCCGTTTCGATGTTTTTACAAAGGTTACCAAACTAGCAGTTGGCAAAAGTCGCCGTTTGGTCGGGGAAAGTCGCCGTTTGGTCGGGAAAAGTCGCCGTTTCAATACCTTGACATACCATCGAAAACATGGCAATGCAAAAAGTGCTTCAGTACAAAATAGTTGGCGTTTGCTTGAAAAAGCAGTTTTGATTGAAAAGGCGGAAAAAAAAGCATACTTATGAAGACCCAGGTATGTCAGCTGAGCTTTCGCTGTTGCCTTTGAGTTGACTCATTCGGGAATTGTGTTTTTGTTTGTCTCCTTTCAGTGCTCGTGCTCATAGATAGTTTGTTTGATTGACACCGGCCTGACCAGAGGATTTAGGAACCGAATGTCTGTCTTGGAACTCGGGTCCCGGGGAGGTCGCATTTTGGGCAACGAAGCGATCGCATGACACAACAAACATCTTACCCAAACGCTCCCTTCACAGCCCCTGGGTCCGGATTCGCGAGACCTATCCCTCCAGGAGCCTTTGGGATCTTTAATGCTTTAAAGAATGGACAAAGTGTTTATACCCTAGGGCTCCAACCATACCCTCAGAAGGTGGTTAGACCCCCAAACCCACCCCAACCATCTTTTCAGGAGGTAGTTGGAGCCCTAGGGATAGTGAAAGTATTAGTAGCTTTTCTCCGTTCGTAGCGATGGCCTCCAACCTAATAGCGATGGCCTCCACCGTGCGTAGCTTCTAGCTACGCTATATACAGTAGCTTCTTGTTATTATGTGAAAGTTTGTATTTGTGTCGGGAGCTCATTCTGAGTGACATATTCAATGACTCACCAAACCAAGGAATCTCTTCGCAATAACTGCTTATTCCCATGCTTGGCCATTGCTATAGGTTGGAGTCCATCGCAAGTAGGTTGGACACCATTACTATACTATTATAGTAACAAGAGGCTACTAGGTTGGAGGCCATTGATATTAGGTTGGAGGCCAAAGAATAAACGTGCTGTAGCCCCTCCTTTCCATGGCACCGGACCCAGGTGGCCTGGACATCGCCTTCAACGTCTGCTTCACCTTGGAGCTGCTGATCCGCTGGACCTCCGAGGCGGGAAGTGCCATGAGGTTCGCAGTCTCGTGGTTGAGTCGTACCTCGGTTTCTTGATCACCTGCCATCCTGGTACAGTCCGGAGTCCATATGCCATCCTGGTACAGTCGTCATGTTTCTTTTTTGTTTTTTCATTTCGGTAAGTGAGACTCAGTCGCGTCCAGGTATAGCCAGGCCTTAGGCCGCTAGGCCGCTAGGCCTAGGCGTTCCCATCGGCGTTTGGCGTTTGGCGACGTGGGGCGTTTGGCAGAGCCCTGTTGGGAGGTGACTTGAGGTGATCCTGGATCCTTCGGCTTGTTAGCAACTGTGCGCTTTGAAAGAGGCTTCAGATCGGTGAAAAACCAGCAAGATCCAGGGACAGGACAGGATGAAAGGACTGATTTGGACAGGATCGCAGGGCGCTGCACACAGGACATCCCCTGCAAGTGAGCCTTGGGAGAGTTGTTTGCACCCTGTGAGGGCTTTTTGGCCTTCCTCAACTGGCACAACCCTGCCTTCAAATGGCTTCTTGGCAGTACTAACAGCAAGCGGTGAATGCATGACAGAGTTTGGGGATAGTCCTCAACACGTGAATTTATCATGTGAGAGTGGTTTCGCTCCCAACCATCAGTCTAGAGTTGCGCTCCAAATTGCGACGGAGCTTTATCGGTAATGAACATGGAACCTGAAAAAAAATATATGGGTTGGCCTTCGGAAAAAATGGTCGAAGCCACATGAAACCACCAGTCGAGTCGATTTCGATTTCTGCATGCCTCACCCTATCTCTGGAGTAGAGGCAGCAGGAAAGCTCAGGCAGTCGCTTTCCAAGCCAGTCGATTTCGGGCTCCAGTCGTCGGTCACGGGTGAGCGACAGGGCTCGATTCGCCGGTTGTGTGGCGACCGTTGGGGATGGAAAACGTCGCATTCCTGGCGGCCCACGGTGGTTCGGTGGTTTTGGTTCGACCAGTCTTTTGTTCAATCGCGATAAGAATCCGGGCCCGAACCAACAGGGTTTGGTCCGGGTCCGGACCCCTGCGAAGGTGTCGGGTTGGAGGTGGATTGTGGTGGTTGAGAGGTTGAGAGATCTGAACGACGGTGGGATAGGCTACCCTCTGACTTACGAACACCCAGACACGACACATGGGACTGCCATATATGCCAATCAGTTGGGGTGGTTTGAGGGGTCAATGTAGGCATATATGGCAGTCCCATGGAGTGTCTGGAGCATCTATGAACGATGTTTATCTCATTCCAAATTATGATCAAGTCACCTGCAATGCGGAAAACAACGCTAGTTTGTTATTGTTTTGCACTGTTCTCTCGGGTCCTCTCATATGATATGGTCATGAGTCATTATGCACCTGTGCAACAATAATCAACAACTTTTACAGATATGGCATGGTTGAGGCCGAAAGCTGAGCAGTTTGGGCAAACTGTCCATGGCGCCTTCCTTGTGAGGAATTGGATGGATTTTGGCTTAGTCTCCTTATCTTTGATCGAAGAGCTTGCAGCCTTGTTGGCCGCCGCCAGCTTCCTGGACGTCTCCGCACTACGGATGTTGCGCATGTGCCGCGGTGTCAGAGTCAGAGACCAACAGGATTTAATTGTTCTCGCATACTCAGGGATGCAACTTCTAGACTTGCAGGACCAATCACCGCTGCATTTTTCTCGATGTTCTTCAGCCCAGGATGCGTTTGGTGCGCGTGGCACGCATCATTCGAATGCTGCGTTTCTTTTCAGAGCTGCGTGTCATGGTGAATGGCACCTTGGCAAAAGTGGCGGTGTTTCCATAACCCTAGGGATCCAAGTACCTTCTCAGAAGGTACTTGGACCCTCCAAACCTACATAGCGGTGTCTCCAATCACCTGCTGAGAAGGTACTTGGATCCCTAGGGTAACATATGTATGCCATGAGTATGCCATGAATGATGCGGCCGGTGGCGAGCATGCATACATGTGGATGTGGTGCGATTGGGGACCATGTGAGTGTTGGTGTTATGACTACAAGCTAACATGCGCCAAAATACATCTATGCCAGCACCCTCCAACAGGTCTCCGACATGGAGGCTTTTGTAGACTTAAAAGTCGCAGGTGGTGACCTGTTGGAGGGTCCTGGTAGGTCAAACTGGAGAAGGGTCTTCACAAAGTCTCGGTCGACGTCTTTCTTTGCCACGAGCCAATTCGATGTTGCTCGTTGCTCGATGAGGTGTGAGGTCAGCGACGCTTCCTCTTGCTTCGGCTAGGCATGTTCCCGGACCCTCATAGGATCCATGAAGATGAAGTGACTGCGGTCTCCTCACTTGGGCTTCGTGAACCGCCAAAAAAACCCGCCCTGTGGGACTGGGGACGGGGGAGGAAGAGAGATCCAATACACGGCCGTGGCGGGGCCGCTGTTGGGGGTGTGTTTGGGTCGTTTTTCGCGTGGTTTTGGTTGTGAGCCCGGCTCTGCCATCCGCGCAGCACGCGCGCCGGGGGGGGGCATCCATGATTTCTGCATGCGCATAGCGCATAGTTAATTCTTGTGGAGGACTCGAGGACCTTGGACAATCCGTACAAATACACGTGTTCTTTTTTGATAGGGTCACTTCCCATGTTCAATGATTCAAGGTACGAGCTGGAGGGTCCAGGTATGTGGAAGCCTAGAAAACAAGGCGCCTTGTGGTTCTGGTCTATAGACTTGTTGGACGAGCCCCCCCAGCTCATGGTGAGTGGCGCCTGAGGCATCATGGGGTCGGCGAAGCCCTTGCTTTGGGCCTTCGTCTTCTTGCTCATTCTGATGTTCATGGCCACATGGCTTGAAGAATGATTAATTATTTGACGATGCATGCATATATGAGTCATTGAAACACCGAATATCACGACAAAAACAGTCTCTTTCCAAATCATGGGAAGCTGGCAACCTGCCACTGCGCATCGTATGGCAACACACACACACACCACTCTGGAGAACAACCTCGTCCCATGGAAGCAGTAACTTCAGCTTCAGGTTGGAGTGACCTTCATGCAGCTCGCTGCCAACTACATGTCACAGGAGCGAACGTTGGACAGACAAGCGATGTCATTTGACTTAGAACACGTACTCGGGGTGCAGATCGATGGCGGCCTTGACGTCAGCGTTCAACATCGTTCAATTGGAAAAGACAACGGTTGTCACGGAATTCCAATCAGCGTTTGTTCTGCGGCCCTTCTTGGAATTGCTCGCTGGGCATATCGAAATTCGGACACCCCTGTCATATATCCTTCGAGGGAGCCTTTTTGCACCACATGACCAGGCGGAGCCTGGGTTGCTATGGTTTGCTTCTGTATATCATTCTGCATCGATCCTTGGAAACCCAAAGACATGGTTGTTTCAACATGGCTTCTTGAGATCCTTTATATATATATATATAGGAAGTGTCAGGGACTGAAGGCGTTCCATTCATAAAACTGTCCAGTACTGGGACTGGAGGTTTTTATTAGGTTCGGTCCAAATTCAACAACCCGGCGCGGTCCCAAAATCGCTTCGTTCGTCCCCTCCACCCTTCGCCTTCATCGCCCATCGCCGACCATGCCAGGACGGACTGATGGAAGATGATCTGATGTATTACTGGGGCTCTCTAGCACGGACCATGAGACTCAGCAAGCAGATCGAACCAACTCTCGGCGCGATCTCGGCGCATGGAGGTCCAAAGCGTCTGACCTTTCGGTCGAAAGCGACCTAGGTCGACCTGCGCACATGCGAGGTCGAAAGCGACCCAAGACCGGGCCCCAAAATCCTCGGGTCTGTCGGGGTCTGGGGTCTTCGAACCGATTCCGGTTTCCCAGACACGACACATGGGACTGGCATAGGACTGCCGATCAGGCCAGGGGTGGTTTTAGGGGTCAATGTAGGCATATATGGCAGTCCCATGGAGTGTCTGGGTATTATGGTTTTGAGGGACCAGTCGGGCGTCGTGAACGGAATGTCCATGGAGGTGACTGAAGGGAAGCAGTGTGTTTTCGTGATCTTCTTGCCCAGACGCTCCGTGAACGACGCCCGACTGATCCCTCAAAACGGGATTGGTGAGAAACCCCAGACCCTTCCATAGCATTCGGGTCCGACTCCTCCATACGATCGGTTCATAATCTTCTTATGGATTCGGTGCTTGTTTGTTTTTAGTCATATGCTCCTTCTGTACAAAGCAGTTGTCCTGTTCATGCCGCAACGGCCTCAAAAGCCGCCGGCGGACCCAACGGCACGTGTCGACCTCGGACCTCGGATTTCGAGGCACGAGCTCCGGGTCAAGGTGTGCAACGTGTTGATGGGGATAACGTAGAGATGACCTATACCAGCACCCGACTCTACAGGTCTCCGACATGGAGGCTTTTGTATAGACATAAAAGTTGCAGGTGGTGACCTGTGAAGTCGGGTCCTGGTACATGTGCGTCGCACGTTTGGCGCCTTTTCTCTTGTCCGCACCGTTCGCGGTCTCTTTCTGCTCACGGTCTACGCTGGTGCAAACTGAGTCGAGTGGAGACTGCACGAGTTGGAAAAGAACCTCGTACCCCGGGGCCCCCGGTGCCAGGGTGCCAGGGGTGCTTCATGGACACCCCGAATCACCTTTAAGGGGCATAGTGTTAGACACTCCCTTCGGGGTCCCTGGTATTGTTTCATTAATGCATTTCAACCTGGAGCCGACCTGTTCGTACCTCGGCGACAGCTAGGTTAGCTGCTTTTTAATGCGGGTCATGTAAATATTTTCATACATTTTCTATTGGGTACGAACGACGTCGGGTCACTAGCAAGATATTCGCATGATTTTCCCAATCTTTTGTCACTGAGGATGACCCTCTATATGGCCATTTCGGGTGGTGTCGACTGGAAAGATTGCGTGGCGCCCTTGCACGTGGTGAGTTGGGCAATGGAATACATGTGCCCGGGCGGAAGTGGACGTTTGGACGTTTGGACGTGTCGGTGGGAGGCTAAGCCGCTGGGCTAGGATCGATTCCGGCTGGCACGACTTGGGACAGCCGGTGGTGAAAAGGTTGAAAGCTGAGAGGAGGTTTCTATATGGTTCTATCAAGTTCTGGGAGATTTCATCAATTTCATGCGCTCTTCACTGACCAGCCTGAGTTGGCTTGGATTCTCCATACTTATTCACCTGGAAACACAAACTCTCAGAAACGAATGCTTGCTCCTATGACAGCATGCAATGGAGATCTTTTCCGTAACAAGTGGGTTGCGACTGGGAAAAACAACTTCCGTTGGTTTTTTTGTTGGGACGAGGTTTCCACGCAGGGGGTCTCTTCAGAGCCACCGGGTTACATGTGATCTCAGGCTTGGAGACTTTGCCAACGGCGTGCCGTTGCGGCGTAGAGTTCGGGGATCAGCGCAGGTCTACACACCGGGCGAAGTGACCTAGAAGTGACCATTGACCCCCAGTTCGTACCTTAAAGAATGAGACCTCCCGGAACGCTCCGTTCACAGCTAGGGATTGGTGAGAAACCCCAGACGCTTCCAGAGCATAAGGGTCCGACGCCTCCACGAGCGTCCAGGGTCGCGTCTGGGCTGACCTAAAACAGCGAAGGACGCCACGAGGTACGAAGAGAGGTGTTCCGCCGGGGGCCCACTTACGTCAGGTTTGCTACTTACGTCTTCTTCACCCTCTTCTGCTGCCTCAATATCGCTCCCAGCTTGCAAAATCAAGAAGCTACTATAGTAGCAAGGTGCATCGCTACTAGGAGATCATTTGCTAGTAACAGACTAAGAAGCTACTAGTAGCAAAGGACATTTCTACTAGGAGCAAGCAAGGACGCTACTGGTAGCTCCTGGCATGACTAGTAACTAAGAAGCTACTATATAGCTACTAGTAAGGTCCGTCCGGCGCGAATGACCCCGGAGCCGCTTCACCGAAGCTTGGGCTCGCCGAAGCTTCGGCTGCTCTTCCGGTTTTGGGAGAGCTTTACCACTGGGACCCTGGTCTGTGGATGTCTGTGGTACATACCCAGACACGACTAATGGGCCATAGGACTGCCGAGAAACGGCCAGGGGTGGTGCCAGGGGGGTTTGTCTGGGGCGGCAGTCCGGACTGGCAGTCCCATTCGTCGTGTTTGGGATACGAGATAGCCTACAGTTGCTCCAGTGCTCCTTTCTGTTCCGCGGAGAAGCTGGTGGTCTCATGTCGGCCGAGGGGCAGCTGTCGAGGTTCTTCACGCGGGTGTGTTTCGGGAGCTTCGTTTTGGGGGCTGGCGTATAGCTGCATGCCAGGGCCCTCACAACTCGGGGTGTCCCTTTTTTAGCTCCTTAGAGGTTTAGCGATGTCCATCAACCACCCCGATGCTGGGGGGGGCCCTGGTGTAGCTTCACTGATGGTTCCAGACTTCGGGCTTTGGCCATGCCGCATCGCCGTCGATGGCACATCGAGAACCAGTGCACGAAAAGCACGGACTGTCGGCCCAGAGCAGAAGCGGTCTTCCGACCAAAAAGAAGGGGCCATGCCACAGAACCATGATTCTTGGATGGGGAGTCAGAGTCATGTTAATGTTGAATGTTTAATTCAGCCATAATAAGCCTATACAAGTTGTTGAGGCCCTTCTTACTACGAAAGCTTCTTGCTCCCAGTAGTGGCCTCTAACCTGCTAGTAGTGATGGCCTCCACCATAGAACCAGCCTGTTTTCTGTTGGTCTTGAGGTGACAGGCATTTTTGTCGACAATGCCAAAGCATTGAAGTGACTTGTCAAGCCCTTCTTCGGCTGCGACGCCGGGTTTCCGGTGCCGTTCTTTTTCGGGCTCAACCGGTCGTGAGGTGCGAGGTATGAGGCGTGCCCATTGGGTGATGAAAGGGACACCACACCCCACTCTACCCCACCAGGTGGTGGTGGAAAGTTCGGTAAACACCTGGGCAACTGAGCTCAGTCAATATATACAGAAAGTCCCTATATAGGGATCGTTGGTGGACATGACCGCAACATGACTGGGCGGTGAAAGAGCTGTTCTGGGGGGCAGAGCGCCAGCATTTTGGGTGATTCCCCGAAGCGGAACTTCCATCCAGCACCACCCATGCAGTTCGGGCGCTTTTTTTTTGCAACCCCCCTGAAGAGGTATTTTCCATCAAACCCCACCCCGAACTGGGTGGTGGTCATGTGACTGTCATCTTTGCCCCCCCCAACCTCCAGTTGTGCCCAGGCGGGCACATACACCAAAGTCACCGAAGTCCGGTCCAGTCGCCCGGTGACCGACCGTCGGAACAGGGGAACCTGGTACCGTCTCCAGTGAAGGACATCAAAGTGGAGGTTGATCATATCAAAAGCACGAGTGTATATAGGACCAATGGGTATATCTTCGAATTGTGCAACATGTCTGCCGAACTTGCCTGGTTTGATTTCCAAAGGCAGAACTTCTGCACAGTTGGAAGATCCAGGTCTATCTCCCAGGCGAATGGCACCGCGGACTGCCCCTTTGACCCACCCTCCTAGCACCAACGGCTCCGCCTCCCGAGGTCCGCGGACGAGGATGCCATGTACCTGGAAGCCCTGACCGAGCGGAAACGTTGGATCGCCGAGGTGAAGGCGGTCGACCCGACCGTCGATCGGGGGGCCAACAAGCGGGGATCCATGAAGTTCACTTGGGGTCAGGCTTGGGTTGACTTGATGGACATGGAGTTGTTTGAACAAAGGTACCAGGCCCCCTAAGTGGTGTAATGATAGATGTTAATAGCCCCTTAGAGGTTTATAGATGTTAAAATGGGTTAAACGGGTCTCCATCAACCCGCCCTGGCAGTGCCCGTTCGTACCTGTTGGGTTCGGGGATCCAGCCATGTTCACGAACGAGTGGGACTGGATCCAGGTACACTCCCTGCATGGCGCTAGGCGCCTGGCTAGGATGACCATCGCTGGTTTTCTTACACGGAACCGTGAGGATTCCAGGGGAGTGTGTAGTGTAACAGTGTCAAACCATGAAAGGAACGTGGAAACCGGTCGGGGGTTCAGGTTCTTTGTGAGGTGAGAAGGCATTTATGGGAGGGTGGCCAATTCCTGTGAATCCCTTTTGATGGTGAAGCCTGTCACAGTGCTACAGCGAATGATACGGTGAACACCTGTACTACAGTGAATTATACTTCTTGAGTATATGACCTATTAGCGCGCTCCCATGCTACCAGTTCTGCAAATGTCGCCTTCATGTCAGGTTCCCCCAGGAGGTTGGCTCCAGCGTGTTGTGTCTATCAAATGGGTGTGGACCCCCCCACTCATATCGGAATGGTGATCTTAATTCTATGGCTTCTACCTGGCATGCCTTGTATACGGTGATTTCATGGCTGGCTGGACCGAACTGCGTGCAGGAACTCTTTTCAAGGTTGGATACCAGCATCAACGGCAAGTTCACGCTTCTTGTTCGCAGAGCGGTGGGCAGTGAGCTTGCAGTCCGGTCCTTAAGTGCTTTCAGAGTTTGTCTTGCAGCGGACAAAACGGAAACCAATCCGGTTCTTGCTGTAAACGTTGACGTCATCGGGTTCTGACACGTGTTGACACGTGGCGCACGAGTCGTGTTCCGCTCGGTTCACACTTGGTCGTCCTTGGTCCCTCAAAGCCCGCAGATTTGAGACAACTTGAGACCCCGGGCGCCTGACCCAAAAATTCGGGTCCAGGGTCGCGTCTGGGTAAGCTCTAAAAGAGCACGTGAAAGAGACATCCATGCCTCTGACCAGCTGAGTCTACATGCAGCTTCTTTGGAGGACTGGAAGAGTATAGGGCTTATCCGTGAGATGCACGGATTCTCCAAACAGTGTCCACTTCGATTCTCCTCCCCTCCCATCTTCACACACCGGGTCGCCCACACGTCGCGACCCGCCAGTCCCCACGCGACCTCCGCCCCCACACGGGAGCCCCGACCGTTGAGCCCCGACTGGGAGGTTCCAGGACTTTAAGACGCACGTCTCCAGCATCAAGGTGCAAACCCTGTGCCTCGCCACGAGTGACGGCGCGACGACGAGACGAAGGACCGTGAACCAAAAAGAACACCAAACTCCTCGTGTGTTTTGTGTGTTGTTTGGTTTCACACGGGACGCAGCGACGCACATGGAAAGGGTGCGGACGACTCGTGCTTGGTTTGGTGGCGAAGTTGGGGCGGATGCCACACTGAAAGGTCATATGAAAGGTTTGGGAGTTGCGGATGGTGGGAAGCCGGGTTGTTGCAGGTGAGAGTGCACTCCGCAGCCCTGTCATTCAATGGGTCCTGATAGGCCGATTGAACATATATACCCTCCCTATGGATCCACATACCGAACCTCAGGTTCGGCACTGGGACCCAACACAAGCCTACATAAATAGTCTCCAAATAGCTTCTGAGGAGGTACTTGGATCCATAGGGCCTAGAAGTCGAACCACCATTGTTTTATATAATAGCCTGAATCCCGAACCACCATTGTTTTACTATAAGGGTTTTACACTAAGAAACCAGAGCAATCATGTTGAAAATGGTCTTTGACTTCCAGGGTATATATAGGATCCAAATACCTTCAGAAGGTGATTGGATAATTTTGGAGACACTGCTGTTATCGTTGAATGTAGGTTTGGAGGGTCCAAGTACCTTCTGAGAAGGTACTTGGATCCCTTAAAAAAACGGTGCAGTCACCTTCCAATCCATGTTTCCATTCTGAAAGCCGCAGAAGGTCTCGAACCCTTGGATGCAAAAGTTGTCGTGTTCGGCACCGTGTCCGACCGGGGTTCTCGCTTCCCGGCTTCTTCGATCGAGGTTATATTGCAGTATATGACAACTTATTTATTGCATTTCATAATATCCCTAAGGCCCTAAGAGTCCAGGACCATGCTGAGGACGGTCGAACGGAGGTGAGTACGTACTTCCTGAGAATGGTCGAACTGGGGCCATTCTGGACATCCGAGCAACGGATGGTCCTGGACCCTTAGGGTATGGAATATCTGGCGGAGTATCTATATAACATTGATCCTTTTTTTTTACGACATACCTGGAGTCTCAACGTACCTTGAAAAATCCGTACACTCTCTGTTTATATAGGGTCATGAGCCGCCATGTTCCTTTGTCCCCTTTCCCATGGCAGTGCCACCGAAAAAACGGACACCGTTCGGTTCCACGGTGCCACCGGTGCCGGTGCGGGTGCCAAAGCGAACGCTCGGAGGTTCCGCAAGCTGGGCATCAACGTGGACAACATCGAGGCCGACGAGCTCTGGGAGATCCTGGACGCCGACCGCAGCGGCGAGATCGACGAGGAGCGCGGTCTCCCTCAGCCGGGTGCTGGGCAGGTGCTGGGCGATCGCCTCGCTTCTTCCGGCACAGCAGATCGTTCGCGGAGCGAGGTTTTGGAGAGGTCAGCTATACCAGGAACATCCAAGAGGTGCCTATATATAGACTCTTATAGAGGTAAAAGGGGGGTATCCAAGAACCACCTGTTGGAAGGTCCTGGTAGTTGTTATCAAGTCTCAAGAAGAGAAGATCTGGACGTATGGAGCTGACTGAAGGTTCGTACCATAAAACAGGTCAAAGAACCAAAGTACCTGGAGTCAGTCTCAAAAGTAGAAAATAGGACATCACCCTACAAGAACAGGTACGACATGGTACGCTTTTGTCCATGTTGTAACCATTTGTCCGAGGCCTTTGAGACTCCATGTATACCCGCGACCGTTGGATGAGGTACTTCAGCTTTACCATGCCGCTGGAACGACATGCACGTCGCCGGCAAAAAAATCCACGCCGCATCGCAGCACCCGTCGCAGCGAGGTCGAAGTGGAAGCGTTTGGGCTGAAGAAGTCGCAGCTTTTGACCTGTAGAGTGAGGGGTGCTGGTCTAAGGCCATGAGGTACTCTCAAAAAAGGGTGTGCACGGCGAAATCTCAAAGCACACTTGAGGAAGTTCCAGGATGTTCCAGGCTATTTAAACGCACATAATCTTCTGGATTCCTGGCGGACCATGAATTTTAATAGGCTTTACACTACACCACCATTGTTTCATTACCCAGACACGACTAATGGGACTGCCATATATGCCTACATTGACCTCCAAAAGCACCCGTACTGATCGGCAGTCCTATTGCAGTCCCATTAGTCGCGTCTGGGAATATCATTCACCAAACCGGACCCTTTCCTTTCTTTTCGTCCGTGGCGCGGCGGACCCGCCGTGGCTCGCTGGTGCCAGGAGGAATTTGCCAAAGGCGCGGCTGACCCGTCGACCCGTCGTTCGACTCCTTGTGTCGGACCCGTCGACGCGTTGACAACGTGATCAAAAGGGGTCAAACGATCTGTGCCAAAGACTTGGTGCCTCAAGAACATGGGGCCCCCGCCCCAGGACTTCGTACCTCTTTTTTTTTGGGGGGACATGTCATGACATGTGCCATTTTCTAGGGTACTTGAAGTCGGGTCCAGGTATGGTTTGGGGGTGAACATAGGTCGCATTGATCATGAAGTGTTTGTTTGGTGTTCTGTTTACCACCGGGACTTCAACTGCCGGTGGTGTGGTTTGATGACTGGCTGAGGCTGAGGACAGAGGTGAGGCCCAAAGAGAAAGGAAGCAAGATGAATCCGGGTGAGAATCCACCATACGTCCATGCACCATTTGCTGTCTTTCAGTGGGAATCAAGTGCAGACACGATCTGTTTGGGACTGGCATAGTTGCCGATCAGTTGGGGTTGTTTTTTTTGTATGTTTTTGTGGTCAATGGCAATGGATGGGTAAATATTCCATATACTATCCCCACCCCCTTAACCATTGTTTTGAGGGGGGGGCCTGAAAAATGTAACTTCCAATTCCCCCCCCCTCCCCCCCCCCTGAAAAATGTAACTTACCCCCCCCAGGCCCAGCATTGAGGTACATGAAGCGGGGGGGGGAGGGGGTCTAAAAATGTAACAACATGCCTGCGAGGGATGTAGTTACATCATCTGGACCCTCCCTTCTTTGGGGGGGGGGAGAGGGGCGGGGGGGGGAGGGGTGTGAAAAATGTAACTTGGAGTGTCCGAGGTTGAAAGTTACATTTAATAAGCCCCCCCCATTGGGGGAGAATGCATTGTGCAGAGTCTTGTGATGTCATTTGCCTGCGATAGTAGCAGGAATGGATCAAGAGAGAGGTCGTATGATGTTGTATGAAGTAAGAGCTAGTCAAAGACAATCAAAGCGAGAAAATCAATGCAGTCAGAACACAGGGTGAAAAGGCATGTGTACATGTAACATCATGTTACATATGCCAGCTGCGCAAGCACATTCCAGGTGATACTGCATGCTTCCAAGGCCTGGACACACCTAAGTTACAATTGCTTATGGGTCCACAGCACATCACAACAAAACACAACAAGTCCACCAAAGCACTCCAGTTGAAAAGGTATGTTTAAATGTAACATGTGACAGCTGCACATAGCACAGATTAGTCTGTGGCACAGCAGGTCTAGAATTAAACGCACTCCTCCCACAACATCAAAACAGAAGAACTCCAACCAAAGCACACCCAGTGATAAAGGCATTTAAATGTAACATATGCCAGGTGCACACAGCACAGTCTGGGTGATAATGCAAGTTTCCCAGGCCTGCGCACACCAAAGTTACATTTCTTTCTGGCATTCTGCAGAGGAACCAGCTGATGAGAAGAGTTTTGCGTAGTCGAAGAGCGCAGTCGAAGAAGAAAAGAGCCCATACTCTTCAAGCAGCCTCACTGAGTCTTGCGTAGTGTTACCTTGAACCATCCTAGACCTGAAAAAATGTAACTTACATTTTTTACATATTTAGTTACATTTTCCCTGGAATAATGTAACTTGCATAAGTTACATTTTTCATTAAAAGCCTAACAAATGTAAGTTACATTTTTCCAGGTATATGTAAAGGGCTAAATGTAAGTTACATTTTTTCAGGTCCCCCCCCTGCTAAGGGGTAGGGATCATATACTATACCTGGATGGAGTGCTTTGGGAAGAAGGGACAGAGGTTCGCCAGCCCATATAGGGTCCAGGTACCTCCTTTTCGAATGCTTTTCGAATGGTCGAAGGGAGGTACGAACGAAACCGGACTAGACCTTCGAGCACCGGATGGTCCTGGACCTGGACATTGTGGGGGGCAGGTTCACACAGAAAAAATGCTGGGAATCATGATCACCTGGAGAACCACTCGAAATGGTGATTCCATGTTCTGGTTTGGCGAACATAAGGTGACTTTCGTTCTTTTTCCTGGGTGAATCCCCTTGTTCAGACAGCCCATCGGCCAAGCTGCACGAGTCCGGCCGACCCATTGGCCGACCGTTCTCCGCCACCGAAGAAACCGTTGGCTCGGGAACGTTCCGCTCCTCCCTGGCGAGTGACTAGGTGCGAGTGACTAGGGGGGTCAATCAAACAAAGCCAGCCTGGTTCTTCAGTTCGTGACCGAACTTGATCACCTGGTTGGTTCGGTCACTTACAAGCCTCCGGGACACTTAGGAACCTTCAAAAGGTCACTTTGAAGAAGCTGGAGAGTGATATCACGATTTTCTGAGATGGAAATGGCCTGCAACCAGGCTGGGCACAAGAAGCTTTTTTCTCAATGGAACCTCCAAAGTACCTGTCGAAAAACACGTATTCCAAAGAGTTTCCATGTCAGGGTGCTATCCATGGAGCTTCAGCGCGGTGCCCAGAACATCCACCTCCACAGCCCCATATGGATGGGGACTAAACAAAAACACCACCCCGCCCAACTGCATGTGGCCCAGAGAGATGTTATACTTCCCTAAGGATCATTGGACCCTCCGAACTGGAGGGTTTGGACCCTGCAGAACGCAGGGGTTTGGACCCGAACCAAACCTTCACCGAACTGAGGGTCCTTGATCCTTAGGGTTGCATGATTGTTGAAGAGGGAGTCTACTTTTAAGATTAAAAAATAACAGGCTACGTGCCAAGAGTCACCTTTAGGATGCTTTTTTTTCTCCCCAGTGAGTGGATGTGATGTTCTGGGCACCTCCAAGTCCGTCACCCAACTCCATGTGACTCCTGGTGTGACTGATCGGAGGTTTGACTCTCCAGGTCAACTCCTTTGGCTCATGTTTGGCACCAAGACAAAGGTCGGTCGTGGTCGTTAAATCCTCGCCAGGCCTCAAGTACTTCCAGGGCCCTGCACAAAGCATCCACGTCTATCGCCTGATGAAGGAGAACCAACGCCTACACGACAAGGCGCGACCGAACGACCCGGAACGAGGTGAACCTCCCTCACGGCGTCCGGACCCGAAGGGCGTCCCCACCTGGATCGATCGAACCGGCGTTCCGTTCGACACGGCGGCTCCTCCAGGACTGGACCTTCAGACGGGATGTGATGTTGGGCTAGCCCGCCAGGTTAAGAGTGAGATGTTGGGTCTGTCCGAAGGTACCTGTAGCAGTAAACAGTTATCGCATGTGATCGCTACGGACAAGGCCTCTATACTAACCATCATCCACTGGGCTCAGGTATTGGGATAGACCCAAAATATATGGCTGGCCAGGGCTTGCTGCAACCACGTCCCGTGCCGGCAAGTCTGTGGCTCGCGCCGGCTCGGCGAGCAAGCGCCAGTCTGGAATCAAGGGTGTCCTTCTTCCAAGTGGGACGAGTTGACCAGCTCCCAGTTCTGGGAGCTCCCAGTTCTGGTTGACCAGCTCCCAGTTCTTCTTTGGCCGAGGTTCAAACCATGATTTCCTGAGGTGCCTTTTTCTTGACGCAGAGAAAGATGGTCCAAACAAGCTGCTACAGTAGCTGTATGAAGACATGAGCCGCCTTCAAGAGCTTGCAACAAACAAGAAGGATGCAGTTGGCCACCCTCAAAGTGATGTCCTACTTCGTAGGATGAAGATGAGCCAGCTTCTTCAAAGTGACCTTTTGAAGGTTCCTAAGTGACCCTTAGGAGGCTTGTTCGTGACCGAACCAACCAGGTGATCAAGTTCGGTCACGAACTGAAGAACCAGGAGCATGAAGATGGATTGTTTCAACCCGTCCGTATGCAACTACCTGGGTGGACAACCAGAGACAGGTGGATGAAACTGCCCAGTCTTCAGCCACTTCCTGGGTAGGAGGTCCTGGCTGGCCACTGGATGTCCTGGCTGGACTACCCTAGTGACTATCCTCCACTACTATCCGGGATTCAGCCAGGATGTACAGGATGATCCAGGTATGTCATGAGGCACTTCGTGCGTTCCAAACCCGCACGAAAACACACAGGATCATCCTTCTTTGGTGAGTTTCTGGGTGAATCCAATGTGAGTTTTAGGGGGAAACATGTTGCTTCTCTCCGGCACCATATCCTCCGACCTCGTCTCAGGTGGAGGATCTGCAGGTCAGCATGAACCTCATCATGAAACTCCAAAGCAGGTCGGCACCCGCGCGAACGAACGACAGTACCGATCCAAAGGCCCCGGTCGAGACGGGACCGGGTTTCGATGTCAAACACATGGCTTGGAGGACATGGCGTGGTTGCAGGGTTCAGCATCCACCGGGGCACACAAACATGGGATATAATATATATATAT